ATAGAGGGGGCATATTTTTATCTACTCCAAGCACCATTTATAGTGGGTGTATATTTTTACCTACTCCAAGCACCATTTATAGTGGGGGTATATTTTTATCTACTCCAAACATCATTTATAGAGGGGGCATATTTTTATCTACTCCAAGCACCATTTTTAGTGGGGGAATTTTTTATTTATTTTATGCATTATGATAATAAATCCGATAGAATGAAATTTTCTTTGCTGCCCGATATTTCACCTTGTTGCTTCATGAGGACCTTATCTTTACTTTAAAGTAATAAAAACGTCATTTTAGTCCAAATTAGTTAAAACTCACGTCAAGTGAAATATCGAGAATAAAATATGTTTCCTTTTTATAGCAGCTGTTGTCGTAAAATAATAAAATACACGTGCCCCACAAAAATGCTTCAGTTAATATTCTGAACAATACACGTGCCCCACAAAAATATTTCAATTCATATTCTGGACACTCAAGAATAGCATTTATAATTAATGTTTATCAGTTTCATTCTCAGCGAAAGTTAGACACAGAGTTTATTTTATTGCTAATATTTCTTACATATTTCTTTTATAATGGGGCCTGGCATTAGGGCGTTCTACTTGCAAACCGTGGGTTCGAATCCCCTTCGAACGAACATGCTCGCCCTTTCAACAGTGGGGGCGTTATTATATTACGGTCAATCTTAACATTCGTTGGTAAAAGAGTAGCCCAAGAGTTGAAGGTAGGTGGTGTTGACTAGCTGCCTTCCATTTAGACTATTACTACTAAATTACAGACGGATAGCGCAGATTATCCGCGAGGACCTTTTCGCGAAATTCAAACCAAAGCAAAGTTTATTGTATTTGACCGTATTCTAATGAAGAATTAAGGTGGGCTTCATCCAATACTCAGGAAAAAAATCACTGGTCAAGGAGAGAGGTAAAGGTCAAGGTATACCTGATCCTCACAGGTCAAACAACCAAACAAGGACGAATTGAAACTGTTTTTAAAACAAAAGCCCATCTATTCAATTTCGAACAAGACAGAATTGAATTTTACGATTCATAAAAATATATAAATAGTTCACAACTAATGAAAGTCTTGAATTATAATCTATCGCTAAACAGATGATTAAGACATTCAAGATTTTATATAATTTTTATTTTTCCTAATGTAAAATAAATACAGTAACATTGATAAAAACTAACAACGATATGATTTGAAATGAAAATTTATAGTTGTATATACTCATTTATACAGACAAACTGTATTTAGATAGGCCTATTTATTATTCAATGCATGCGAATGCTATTTTATTAATTATGTTAAACTAGTTTGCATATCTTATAAATTAGCAATTTTGACTCATTTATCAAGAGTCTATCACAGGTATCTTAGCTCATATTGATACAACTTGAGAACCAGTTTGAAAATTCCAACAAACCACAACTAAGGTTGATATAAGCTGAAAACAGTTTAAAAATTCCGACAAATCATAGCTAACATTGACATGAACTGAAAACAAGTTTAAAAATTCTTACAAACCATAGCTAAGATTGACATAAACTGAAAACCAGTTTAAAAATTCTTACAAACCATAGCTAAGATTGACATAAACTAAAAACCAATTTAAAAATTCTTAAAAATCATAGCTATGATTGATATCAACTGAAAACAAGTTTAAAAATTCATACAAACCATAGCTAAGATTGACATAAACTGCAAACAAGTTTAAAAATTCTTACAAACCATAGCTAAGATTGACATAAACTGAAAACAAGTTTAAAATTCTTACAAATCATAGCTATGATTGACATGAACTTAAAACCAGTTTAAAAATTCATACAAACCATAGCTAAGATTGACATAAACTGAAAACAAGTTTAAAAATTCTTACAAACCATAGCTAAGATTGACATAAATTGAAAACAAGTTTAAAATTCTTACATATCATAGCTATGATTGATATCAACTGAAAACAAGTTTAAAATTCGAACAAACCATAGCTAAGATTGACATAAACTGAAAACCGACAAAGGTCTTTTAACGGTTGCAGTCTAAAATGTTAATGCAATTCTGTAATTTTTTTTAAAATCCTAATTGGCTATCTGTGCTGTACTAACTAAACTGGTTTCGATACCCGTAGCTAGTACAGCACAGATTTACAAACTACAAGTATCGAAAACAGTTTTTAGCGTTATAACTTCACAGACTTGCCGCTGAGCCAATGGGGAACGAAAATATAAATTAAGATTGGACGAGATAAGCAGCCGCGAAACTGCTAACTGGACAGATATTTTACTGTTCATTAAGCAACTGTGAATTTTCACATTTGTTTGGTTAATTAATAAGGGTGGAATTCTAACAGAACGTTGAGATACGCGGTTCCACTTATACAACTCAGAAAACGCTTACTGAATTTTTATTCATTTCTGGCTGTTTGCCGTGCTCAGAGAGTTAAACCTATGTCTATCTGCACTTTGGGATCATCTTCTGACATATGTGTATGTTTTAACTTTTTTTTATTATTTCCATTTTTGTCGTGCTCCTGCCTTCTCTTTACGGTATTCGAGTAAGAATAAACAAGTTTGTGTCAGAACTGTCCAGACTCTTTAGAGCCTGATCAGTACGTCTTCTGTAACAGTTTTATCGAAGCTGTTGATTGGATACAGATGGTACATGGCCTTACGTGACTGTTAGCATTCATGAGAACCGACCTGACTTCCTCTGGGATCACTTCACGTCTCATTGAGAACCACAGCCATGTTGGATTACATTTCAACATACGAGTCTAGCAGCCAGTGCAGGGTTGACTAGTTGATATGATGATGGGTTTGAAAGGTGTAAGACGATGCTGCTACGGTCAAAACTCCGTTGCTAAAGTCTGTTTGTTGCTCGATCGTCTTGAAGCCGGGAACTGAATTCCTAATTATTTTTTTTCAGTACTAAAGCATCGCTATAAAAAAGGCAGAACTTAAAGTTAATGAACTAAGATTTTTGTAGTTACTTTAAAGAAATAACATGACTTACTTGATAACTAAGTGAAGAAGAAAAAACAGGTTGAATAGGTAAATTATAATTTTCAATTGAAGAAACAGTAAAGTCTAAAAGTTATGGTTGTTGAAAATGGTTTAATCTGACGTTGAATGACAATTTTGAAGTTTAAAAGTTATTTATTGTTAAATTTACTGATATCGTATTATTTAACTCACAAACCGTGGAACATTATATTACTTTATTTACGTAAACATTAATTAATGTTTGTGAACTACTTTAATCGCACACTCTTAAACGTTTCGAACGGTCGTTTCGTTTCTGAACATAAACTAACCTAAAAAAAAATTTTAAAAACCGTAAACTAACCTAAAAACTTTTTAAAACCCTAAAATAACATTTAAAAACCTTTTGAAAACCATAAACTAATCTAAAAGCCCTTTAAAAACTCTAAACCAACCTAAAAAACTTTTTAAACCCCTATAATAACCAAAAAGAACGTTTTGAAAACCAGAAACTATTCTAAAAGCCCTTTAAAAACTCTAAACTAACCTAAAAAACTTTTTAAACTCCTATAATAACCAAAAGAACGTTTTGAAAAACCATAAACTAACCTAAAACCCTAAAATAACCTAAAAAACATTTTGAAAATCCTAAACTAACCTTAAAATTCTTTTAAAACCCTAAACTAACCTAAAAAAA